AAAAGAGAAGTTCTTTTTCTCTACAAAGACTAATGAAGAGACTATAGCAAAGTTGGGACTGTTTTAACCATCAAAGTTTTTTGTCTCTGTGTTGTCAAGTGAATGAGAGAATGGTTGAGTAGTGGGGAAAAAGGAGCTCTGGAAGTTTTATTCTGGTTTCTTATTCTTGTAGTTTTGTTAATAAATTTTGTTTATTCCTTTAAAGTTTTAAGCCTGTTTTGCTCTTCTTCTAATCCATATCTCACAGCAAGAAATGAATAAGTTTTCTAGTGATTTTTTAGCTAATGCTTTAAAACCACAACATTTAGTAAGACTACAAAATGAAATAAACTCACTAAAAGAAGCAGTCTTTCAAAACCACATGGTGTTAGAGATGATAAAATCCCAAATGGGAAGAGTTTGTATTCTAATTAATATCAGTTGTTGCACTTAGATAGATCAGTCAGGGCAAAGAGCAATGGATATCCATACCATTTGGCAACGTGCAAAGGTGCTCCCTGAAGTAAGCAAAGATGATACGTCTTGGAGTAAACATTTGTGGGAAACTCTAAGATCTTGGCTACCTTATACGAATTGGCTAACACAATTGTTTGTAGGAATTTTAGGAACTGGAATACTAATCTTAGGAACCTGCATGATGAGCCAGAGTTTCATATGATATTGTAACCAAACGGTCACCATGTATCACAAATTGAAGCAAATTAAAATGACATTCAGGATCAAAACAGGTAAATATTTTGTGACCACAACAAGACTATAGCTGCAAAAGAATTTGCAAAGGATAAAAGAAAGGGCAGACTTGTTGCAAAGGCAATGAGATAATGTTTGAGCTACACAAAAAGCTGGAGCTGTTCAGTAAGTAGTTGTGTTGTAACAGGGTATGTAAATGAAGCACTTTTTAGAAATCAGCAAATTTAGCAGAACAAGTGAACTGCAAAAACTAACCACAGACTATGTGAGCAGACAATCATATAGAGCACGCCTTGGAAGCAGGGGTGAAAAGTTCAAGCCTGAGGAAGTCTTACGAGCCATCATCCAAAACAACCACCAGGAGGCTGAGGACCATCTCGTGTAGAAACCGCACACGTGCTACAAGGGCTTACATAACCACGTGATTGGAAAATACGCTGCAATATGAAGGTTTGGAAAGTATAATGTGCACATTAACTAAAAAAATATATAAAAGGTAGTACAGTGTGAAGAATGGATGAATGAGTGAAGCAACGCCCCTAAATCTCGGAATCAAATAAACAAATACCTGCTCCATAGGTCTTATATTAAGGAGTACAGTTTTCTTGCCTAGTTTCTGGGCAGCAGCACCATAATCAGAGACACAGAACAGCTTCTCTGCCCAGAGTTATCCCAATAGTCTGCACTTCCCCATGGGCCTGCCTTGAGGTTCACTGGGGACCTCCCTGTTTGTAGCCGTCCATTCCCGTGCTCAGCAGAGATGCAGTTGTGTTTGGACATGAGCTGCCACAGCCAGACACACAGCAAGAGGAATGTAGAATATCAGAGGCTGTGTAGATCCAATTTTTTTTTCCAGGATGCAAGCAAGAAAAGCAGAAGGAAACATGGGAGAACCTCAGTACAATTGAATTGTCCAGGGAAACCCAGAAACTGATGGTGTTCTGGTGCTACTGCTAATCCCTTCTAGGGAAAAAAAATTACTCCAGGAAGGGGCAATGTCATGGGACAGATAGCAAGAGTTGATCCAGGAAGCCTCTGAAGGATGGAGCCCAGCCCCCAATGCATGTGGGCTTTGCCTGCCCCCCGGCACAGAAGCCCCCCAGGGGCACAGGTCTCTGGGGCAGGAGAAGGTCACCAGCACTGCCAGGGCTTGCCTGGGGGGGCGGCAGGTCTGCCTTGGCAGGGACTCTGCCACACCTGCTGATTTCAGTGCTGGCCAGGCCCCAGGGCTCAGAGCAGCATTCAGGCACACACGTTCCTTGTCTGTGTCACACCCTGTGCAGGTTTAGGATGGCCACCATCAGGGCCGTGTCCCAAAGAGGCCGTGCTAGCTTCTGTGCAGGGCCCCGTGCCCTTCCTGCTGCGGGTGCGTCAGCAGCCCTGGGGGCTCCTTCTGCTGCCCTGAGCCTGCAGAGCAGGGCAGCGTTTGCTGATGGTTTGAGGCGTTACTAAAGAACCTGTCATGCTGTCTTAGACACTTTGGGCAAGGGATTCCTTCCAACCTGGGCCACTTTGGGGGGGATGGGTGTCATGGAGTTACTTTACCTTTAAGGAAGATGAAGTTGCTGGGAACTGCCTGGAGTCTTTTCTCCTGACCAATTATCGGTCATTGCTGAGAATTGACAGCAGTTTAGGCCATTGAAATTTGGGATTAACTTGTGAACCGTACCTTAAAGTGTAAAACCAGAGCTCTCTGGGTTCTCTTTGTTTCCTGGCTGTGAAGGGTGGCAGAGCTCCAGGCCTCCCGTTCCCTGCCCAGGCCATGCAGCCAGGCGGGGACTGGGCTGGGCCCAGCGGCTCCCGACCAGGAGATGGGGCCTGCGGAAGGCTTTCCCCGGGCCCTGGTTGGGCCGGGCCGATCTATGGCTCAGCTACAGGTTTTGCTGTAACTAAATTCACTAGAAACTGCCGAGTGAAGAAGGAGAGAGGCTCAGGACCTGCAGCAAGCAGAGACAGCCACACTCTCCAGAGCAGCTATGAAGAACCTTCCATTGCAGACAGCTCCAGCTCCTGTTCGGCAGAGATCACCGAACCATCTACAAAAGCCTGGGCAAGATTTTAACTCTTTCATTACCCAGATGAGACTTGCGGATTAATCTTTTTTATCCAGAGAGAGAGAGAGAGAGAGTGATCAACATGAAAAGAGACTTTATAAACTACCAGTGACAGGAAAGAAAAGAAGCTTCAGAAGAGGTAGAGAATTAAGAAGATGCTTTAATTAAGCTGAAATATCTTTCTGTTAAAACTATGGAGATGGACAATGAAGTCCTGAAAAGAACTCCTTTAATTCATGATACAGTATGTAGGGAGGAATAAAGTGTTCAAAGTGTAAATTTGAGTAAAAAGAAGAGTGATTATGGTATAGTGATGTGCTGGGAGATTTGAAGCCTTGAGAGGCAATGAGAAAACTGTTTTCTGGTGAAGCTCACAGAAACAGATGAAGAAGACTTTTTTGCCTTTGAATAACTTATCCTTAAAAATGCTATCTCTAGACTCATGGCCCATACACACTTCAGAGTGATGTGAAAATGGGAGGAGTGAACTCTAATGATAGCAGCTCTGGGCAGCTAATATTAGAGCAATAGAAAACTATAACAAAAATAGTTTTCTTGTGAGAAACTCCATAAATTAACAGGAAGAAACTTCTGTTTCCCTACAAAGACTGGTGAAAAGACTGTAGCAGGAATTGGGACTGTTTTAACCACCAAATTTCCAAGTTTTTTTTGTCTCTGTTATCATGTGAACAAGGGAATAGTGGGTAGATAGGGGATGAAAAGGTTTTTCTGGAAGTTTATTTTATGTTCTTATTATTGTGGTTTGTCAATTAATCTTTTTTTTTTTCCTTTTAAGTTTTATGCGTGTTTTGCTCTTGTTCTAATCCATATCTCACAGCAAGAAATAAGTAATTTTCTTAGTTATTGGTTTAAAACCACAACAATGGGGGACGAACCAGGAAGGTGGCAGTGTGTGCAAGGGCCGTTAGTGACATGGTGCAGCATGGTAACGGTGGAATGGAACGGTGGAATGGACAAGAGCTGGTGGTGACAAGACCACACCAGAGTGCTCGGTGCATGCAACGAGACAGGACACGCCAGAGCGGTGCTGTGAGGAGCCCCCGCACAGCACACTCGTTTGTATGTGACCCGGAGCTTCTCTGAGCCATCATTCCTGCAGGTGACCTCAAGGCCAGACTGCAGGACTTGGTGACCTGTGGCCTTGCCGAGGCTTATCTTCTTAAGGTGCCCTCAAGGGCAGACAGTGGGACTTCCTGCCTCGGAGCTTTTCCGAGGCATCGCCCATCCCTGCAGTCACTGCCCTTGAGACCTTGGCACAATGCTTGAGGAGGAGCCTCCTGTCCTTGTGGCAGGAGCCCTCAAGACCCAAGTGCAAGACTTGCTGTCCTGCAGTCTTGCCAGGACTTGAGTCTTGCAGTCTTGCCAAGACTTGAGTCTTGCAGGTGCCTTCCAGGCACGACTGCAGGACTCCCTGCCTCGGAGCTTTTCTAAAGCCATCTCTCTTGCAAGTACCATAAATCCAGGCACTGCCATGGAGCAGCAACCCCCAAGAGTTTCCAAGCTGGCCTGGGTGCAGGAGAAGGAGGAAGAAGAAGGCCCTGGAGCTGCCCCAGAGGTAGAGACTGAAGAGATGCAGGAATTCCAGCCGCTGGAGGAGGGTGAGTTGCAGAGTTTGGCCTTAGGGCTAGCGCCTGTTGCCAGCTTGGCCGCATCCCACTGCATGCTATGCCATCCCCTGGTGCTGTTCCTATGGAAAGGATGGGAGAGTGTTGGAGAAGATCTGGAGCAGCAACCCCCAAGAGTGCCCAAGCTGGCCTGGGTGGATGAGGAAGAGCAGCAGGAGGAGGAGGAGGAGGAAGAAGGTCCTGGAGCTGCCCCAGAAGTGGAGACTGAAGAGGTGCAGGAGTTCCAGCCACTGGAGGAGGGTGAGTGGCAGAGCTGGGACAAAAGGCTGGTTGCCGCATCCCAACCCATTGCATCCCATTTCATCCCATCCCACCCTATCCTGTGGAGACACACCCAGGGACAGGACACAAGTGGGGCTGAGGCTGCCCCTCCAGCAGTGGCCGTGCTCCATCCCCTGGGGCATCTCGGGGCTGTCCCTGCCTGGGGATCACAGGGCTGGGCTGCGTTCTCCAGCCGCTCCTGCAGCCCCTCAGCTCTGGCTGCTCTCGCTCTTTGCCAGATGTAGCCGTGGAACAGACACAAGAGCAGGACCTTGCCTGTGGCCTCTTCCACAAAACACCTGCACAGGTACCTGCAGCCATCCCCAACTGGGCTGGGCCTGCTGGCACTGCTCAGCTCAGCACCATGCTTGGAACACTCCATGCAATATCCCTCTCTTCCCACCCTTCCTTCTCCTACCCAACATGCAAATTCATCAAGCGCATTTGGCAGGAAGAGACTAGCGTCATGGGCACTGGGTCCATGGAAGATGGTGACGTCTACACCAGCGACACCAGTGCTGCCATGCTGGAATTCATTTTGGAGGAGGGTGTTTCCATTCCAGAGCAAGTAAGCAGCCTGTGGCCAGGGTTTGATCC